GGGCGGATTCTTGCTCGTCCTTTGTTCTCGAAAAGGACCATGACATCAGAGAGATGATGCCATGATATGCAGGTGAATCTGACTTAAGTGAGGAAGGGCTGTGCAAAATCACCAGCCTCACTTTCTTCTCCAGAACCATGTGGGTCCAATGGCAAGATATAGATCAGGACAACTGGAGATAGGGCTAGATGCACCTTTTTAAGCTAAGGTCTTTAACAGGTCTCAGTTTGACTAAGGCAATGCCTATTCAGTGAATTAAGGCTAGGTAAAAAAAATGAGCCAGAGAATAGCCTCTTTTACATAGTTAAAAAAAAAAATCAATCTGGGAGGGGAAGACCCTCAGGGTTTCTGGCCAAAAGAGAAATAATTGGTATTTACTTTCACTTTGAGCCAATCAGGGCTCAAACAATGACTGAGTGTGGCTTGGCCTGGGACCTATTGTTGGCCAATCAATGAGAGCCAGAGTGATTTGGGTTTAAGGCATTGTCCACTGCTGTCATCTGATCTTGGAAGCTAAGCAGGGTCAGGCCTGGTTAGTGGAGGGTAGTAGGGAAGTGTTAAAGGGTTGATGTGTGCTCCCTTTGGGTAATTACGGTAGACCAGAGACAGGAGTCACAGGAGTTGGGAAAGCTGAAGAACCTGAAGGTAGGTGTTTGAAGAGGGCAAGAGTTGGCATAGCAGAGCTAGGTAGGTACTGAACTTTTTGGAAGGAAATGACAGCAACAAGTTCTAGACAGGATGGAATGAATTTTAAAGGAATATACAGGATTCTTAAGTGATTGTGACAGAGAAAGAATCTGAAAGTGGGGCTGGAGAAGCAGAGCATGGCAACCCCTCCTTCTGGCCCTGTTTGTTGGGGGCATGAGAGAAGGAGCAGCCAACCTTGGAGAAAGGGCCAGGAGATGTTGTGTCTTCAGGAAAAAGCTAGGTTTCATTGAATATGAGAAGATGAAAAGAATAATAGAGGACAGAGATCTAAGATGAAGGGGAGTTTAAAAGTGGTTTTCAGAGGATACTATGGAAAGGGAGGGCAGAAGAGGACAAGGACTGGGGAGGGAAGGGAATATGGGTGGCAGCTGGGTACACTCAGGTCCTGTTGAAAACCCCTAGGCCAAGTAGTGCATCGAAGCAATTTGACACCTTGGGTAGGCAGGATCCTAGAGAAAGAGAGAGGTGTGTAATGGTCACAGGAAAAGGTAGCAGCCTCAGGAGTTAGGTGAGGGAAAAGTGAGGTAGAACGTCCTAAAGCCAGTACTCCATGGGAAAGAAGAGGAAAGAGGAAAGCATACCATTGCAGATGTCAGCACCTCAGTGGGGTTGCTGCTGATGGCACCATGCTAGTTTGAGCAAAGTCCATGTATGCAGTGGGAATGCACTTATGGAAAATTTGCGTAACACTCTAGGTGACAAGAAAGGGGAGAGGTATTCAATAAATACAGTAGGAGTATAGGGACAATCATTCAGCCTACATCCCACACAATCTACATCTGCCTCTGCATTGTAAAACAATAACTTAAGAATGCAGAGTAATTAAAGTATAATTTCTAAAGATTTTTATCAAATAAATTCAAATAAAAAAGCTTCTGCTAATCTTCAGCTATCTAGAATGACTCATTCTGGTGGAGTTGTGAATTGATTCAACCATTCTAGAGAACAATTTGGAACTATGTCCAAAGGGCTATGAAACTGTGCATACCCTTTGACCCAGCAATACTACCACAAGGTCTGATTCCCAAAGAGATCGAAGAAAAAGGACTTATATGTACAAAAATATTTATAGTAGTTCTTTTTGTGGTTTGGAAATTGAGGGGATGCCTCTCAGTTGGGGAATAACTGGACAAATTTTGGTATATGATTGTGATGGATTATTGTGCCATAAGAAATGATGAGCAGAATGGTTTCAGAAAAACCTGGGAAGACATATATGAACTGATGCAATGATCAACTGTGAATGACTTGGCTATTCTCAACAATATAATGGTCCAAGACAATTCCGAAGGACTTATGATGAAAAATGCTAAACCTCCAGTGAAAGAACTGATGGAGTCTGAATGCAGATTGAAGCATACTTTTTTATTTTCTTTATTTTTCTTGGGGAGTGGTTGTCTGCATTTTCTTTTGCAACATGGCTAATATGGAAATGTTTTGCATGACTGTACATGTATAATCTATATCAAATTGCTTGCCTTCTCAAGGAGGGGTGAAGGGAAGGAGGAAGAGAATTTGAAACTCAAATTATTTTTTTAAAAATAATGCTAAGGTTTTTTTACATGTAATTGAGAAAAAGGAAAAAAATTTAAAACAAAATGATTCATTCCCAACTCAGATAGCTGAGGTTTTACCTTAGCTGAAACCTGATATTTTAGACTAAGAAAATCTCTCTATGAAGAAATAACTACATCATAGCACTTCAAATAAAGGATTTAGAACTAGTAAGGTCATGTAATTGCACTGTACTCAAGTTATATTAGGAATCAGGTAAAGTATCTGTAAGAAAAAAAAATAATCATTAAATAGAGTGAAACCCATTTCCTTGAATTTAAGCCTCTAGAGTAAAGGCTTGGCAGGTTCCACCAAGCTATAAATACTTCTAGTCTAGAGGTATCATGGCATATGATGGGGAAAGCACCAGAGACCTGGATTAGAATCCTGGCCTCTGACATTTACTAAGGGTGTTACTATGGGTAACCTTTCTGAATGCCAGTTTGCTTATCTATAAAAATAATCATCATACTTGTACTAAATATCTCACAGGACTGTTGAGAGGAAAACATGATGTAGCTAAATAAAAATTATTATTATGTGGAAGCAGATTAATAACCTTTTTATTTCAACTGAAAATATTAAGAAATAAGTCTCCAATCTTAAGTCCTTTGCAGGTGTTTCCCCCTTACCTTATACCAAATCTCTTTCTTTGAGGAAAGTGTATAAAAGATCAAGAATAAAAGCTAAGGGCTTGGAAAAGAGACAAAGGTAGATACCAAACTTATGAGAAATCTGTGTAGTTAAGACCATTGCCTTCCCCCTTTCCCATGAAGGGATTAATTATGACTCAAAACCAGGCCACTGGCTTTTCCCCCCCAGTTTCCTGAAGAGATTTGGAATTGATCAAAGGGAAGAGGTCTCTTTGAGCGCATCCCCTCAATTTCTAATTCTTTGCCACCACAAAAAGAGCTACTATAAATATTTTTTATACCTATAAGTCCTCTTCCTTTGATCTCTTTGGGATACAGACCTAGAGGTGGTATTGCTGGATCAAAGGGTATACACAGTTTTACAGTCCCTTGGACATAGTTCCAAACTGCTCTCCAGAATAGTTAGATCAGTTCACAACTCCACCAACAATGCAGAATGACTCATTCTGGATAGCTGAAGGCTAGAAGAAGCTTTTTCATTTGAACTTCTTTGATAGAAATATTTAGAAACCGTACTTTAATTACTCTGCATTCTTAAGTTATTGTTTTGCAATGCAGAGGCCGATGTAGATTGTGTGGGACATGGTGACCAGGTCGGGGAAAGCCCTTGAAGGGCACGGTCAAAGAGATGAGTAGTTTTAGGAGAATGATTCTCTAGGGGTGTTCGTTCTGTAAAGATTGAGTGACTCTAGTTCCATTATATGGAGTAGAATGTTAACTCAAAGCTGTATTTTTTATCATGGTGACATTTTCCTTAAAGATTCCTTTAAATGTTACTACAGAATGTCTTGTGTTAGAGAGATATCCAAGGATATGAGGGGACTCTGCCAGTGTGGACATTTCCCTCCAAAGTAGAACAATGCTTGAATTGAGAATCAAGTCAAATGAATAAAAGTTGTTGATGACA